TTATAATCCATGCCATAATGATAGCCCTGTGGAATCTCAATCCGTTGGGTCCTTTGCTGGCTTGCTGCTTGAAGTCTCTGATTATAGACATAAGGATCTATATCTCTACGAATCCTTTGAATTGATGATGCTATTTTTTGAACCGACGACGGTATGTGGCCTGATGTGCCAAAATTGATCATCTAGTTCTGACTTTGCCCCGCCGGCTGTTGCACATGCTGTATTGACGATCCAGGATTGTACTGTATTTGATTCGTGGTAGTACCCAGAGTTTGTTCAGATGAACCTTGAAGTGCTTGGAAGTCACCATTACCAGCAGGTGCTGCTTCTTGATGGCTGGTACCGACTTGATTAGTCCCTTGAGTCGACGGATCTGGAATATTGTAACAAGTCGATCCAACCTGACCAACTAGAATTCCATGAATCGCCTCTTTCATGGCGTTGTGAAATGCGTCAACGAAAGCTTCATTGCGGCTTGATATGGCATCACGAACAGATTTGTCTATGGTTTCCGTAAAGAAACGTCTGTCTTCAGCTTCGACCGTATCTGGCTGCCCGTGTAGTAGAACTCTTGGTAGTGGAAATTTCTGAATAATTGTGCTATCACGTGTTTTGGTGTAGGACAACAAACACTTCTTCTGAAATTCTTCTATAGCTTTGCTAATGGTATCCTTATCTTCATTAGGTAGGTCTTCATAATGTACCATAAGGATGTTGTCGTTGTTGTGAACCGCCATGACAATTGCGGTGTCCCACCGAGCGTGCCAGAAATGTGTGTCGACACAGAATTTTCGTTTCCGTGCCGAGGACACACGCAGCAAGCCGGAAGGGTCCGCTCGATGGAGCAGATCCGCCTAGCTTCAGCGCAAGGGTGATCGATCCTGCGCAATCCTCCTAAGACGTGCCAGTCAATTTGACCCTGCAATTGATAAGGAGAGAAAGCTCATCAGTAATTAAGGGCGGAACACGCCGGTGTTGTCAGACAGTCCCGAATGTGCGGCTCTAAGAGCTGATATGAGAGGAGATCGACTAAATAGTCGATTCCTGCATATTCATAAGAACAAATCGATTAAAGCTCATGGGGTTGTATAAGAAGAATCGGTTATCATTCAGGATCAATATTACTTAAGCAAATATTAATCAATGGCAATAAGATATCAATGATGATCGGTTTATACCGAACCAATGATTACAAGTAACCGAGCTCCTTTTTATATAAAGAAACAATTCAACACCACTTGACCATTTAATAAAGATAAATCTAATGAACATGTTAACTATGACCAGTGGGGCATGAGGTAGAATCATGTAGGCCGTAGAAACAACAATAGACTCAACGACCCTAACTCATTACTAATATCAGTGGGGCATGAGGCAGAATCATGCAGGCCGTAATACAATAATAAGATCATGGGGCTAACATATCTTTCAACTTATCTCTACTTCAATGATCTCGTAATGTAAACTGTTCGTGGAAGCGCTCGATATCGGTTAAATAGCCGATTCAGGCATAGCGCACAGTTAAGGTCATGCCTTCTCAGGAACGGATCTACCAACTAACGATCCCCACTCCACGGTGCCAATAGTGGGGTGAGAGGCAGAATCCCACAGGCCATGATGACGGGCCATGGAACGGTTTTCATTAACTAATAGATCTACTCAAGATCGAACATGCCTTAACCGCACGCTATGCACGATTAAGATTGATGCAAAACAGCCGATAAAAACATAACTCATCACTTAAGATGCAGATTAGATCAATTTTAGATTAGCAAACGATGAGTTAAACAAGATGTAAGGCCGATCCAGATCAATCTCAATCGGGCAGAGTGATATTGCTGTAATTAGATAAACAATGAAAGCAATAAGCAATATCGGTAGCTTAATGAATCTACCAAAGACTGCCATACTAAGGTAGAGCCGATAACTTGACCTTGATCTAATTCAAGCAGTGGGGTGAGAGGCAGAATCACACAGGCCATACTTGAATTAGACAAAAGTCGATAACTAGCCTATACCAGAGTCGTAGTGGGGGTCGATCGGATCGATGCAGCCATACGAACAGAGGTATAAACCATGACGGTACTTACAGACAAGCAGTGGAGGTTGACCGGATCGATGCAGCCGTACTCACTGAAAAAGTCGCCGAGATCTACTCTACTCCTACTCCTAAGGGGTGGCCGAAACCGAAAAAAGTAATTGACTTGTATTTGATTAATTGTTCTTTTACAATAGCCGGGGTTTGGTATTTATACCCGGAGCCTAAAAACAAACCTTACTCGAGTACGACTCAATACAATCTTTGGCATAATGAAAACATTCCTAATTTAAGATAACTTGGACTCTAATCTTTCCCTTTTTGTAGAGTCCAGCATGTCTCGTCCCAACGCCGATCATAGCCTTTGTCGTTATCTGCTGGCGCTATCTGAAGCAAGCCGATTCTAGTGCTGCATCTGAATCAGCTGGTTTTGATCTGCATGCAATTGATCCCTTGCTGACATGATTTTGGGAGCCCTCGAGCTTCTGAGATCCTTCTTCCAAATTCTAGTGTAAACACAATGGCCGCCTCGTTTTCTCGGCGTTGGGCGCAGTTGATGTTTCAGTTCTCACGAGCGACACGCTCCTCCTCGGTTTCACCATTTCGAGGAGGGCTGTCGACGCTGACGTTGAAGATCGTGCCACCCCGGAAGGGTGGGAGAAGGAGTTGCTCAGTGAAGGTTTCGGCGAGGGTCTCCGTAGAGCCCTGAGACTCGGAGCCCATATTTTCCTCTGGGATGGTCTGGAGGGACGCTCCGGGGCACCGGCCTATATGTAGCATGTTGACGGCTGGAGGAAACTGGACAGAGATCTGGCCGGCGAGTGGGTGGGCGCATCCCACCTGGTCGGCGAATTTGCCCCGCAGGGCGCCTTGGTAAGTGGCGGCGACGTCGGTGAGCCCGAAGGGCAGAGCCGCAACTCCTAGAGTTTTCCGAGCAGCCTCCGATAGATTTGGATCGGACGGTGGTCGGTGCTGAACCAAAGTGTCCAGAGCCGATTCGGCGATGGAGAGACAATCGGCGAGCTTCAGACCGATCCGATCGATGGATTTGATCAGATCGTCGTTGTTGACCTGCCTCCTCTGGTAGCGAGGAAGCGGGCGGCGAGTTGTTGATGAAGGAGACCTCAGAAGCGGTTCCAAGGTTGGATCTACAGTCGCAGGTGCGGGGATGATCAGAGTAGAATCGATTTGCACCGGCTCAAGGAGCTCTCCGACTCCGTCAGCGTTGATGATCCACAAGATCGATCCGACCGTGAAGATCTGGCCGGGCTGCGGGAGGGACGAAGAGCCTGCAGAAAAACCATCTTGTTCAACAGGGAAACAGCACGCAATCCCCTACCTGGCGCGCCAACTGTCGATAGAATATCATCGGCGGTCCTCCGATGGGTATCCCACGAAGGTAGATTGATCGGTAAAGAAGCGTGAGATCAAGAACAACAAGGCAACAGAGACACACGAGTTAGACAGGTTCAGACCGTCAGTATGACGTAATACCCTACTCCTGTGGTCTGTTGGTTTGTATTAGCTATCGTATGATATTGCGTGTGTTTGGAGGGGGTCCCTGCCCGCCTTATATAGTCCGGGGAGCAGGGTTACAAGTCGGTTAGATCTAAGAGATAATCGGAAAGTAATAACTGATTATAGGAATCTTGGGATCATACATATCCTAACAGATCTCGTAGTATCTTCAGGATATCTTCTAGATGTCTTGTGGGAGCCGCCGAGCAGAGTCGTGCCCCGCAAGGCATCGTCTTGTGGGCTGGGCCGCCCCTGGGGGCGCAGCCCATGTGGTCTGTCGTGGGTATCCGGGGTCGTACCCCCCACAGGCTTGTAGTCTTACGAGATCACACCAACTGTGTTTGTGGTGTGGCCGTCACCGTGTACTGTAGGGAACAAGGCCCGTGACGGTTCGTCCGAAAGCTTGATAGTGAAGACGGCGGGGAGCGGTCCGGGAGAGGCTTGCTGGAAGGCACACTGGAGACCCACTTGCGCGTGGGAAAGGCCCCGGGCTATCCACGGAGTTACCCGACCGGGAGCTTGGCCCTTGCGAGGGATTTCTTGCGAGAGGCTCTAACGAGGATTAGGGAGAAACTTGAGCGCTTCTCAATGTCTTGGTAAAAATACCGGAGTCGTCGACGGAAGTTTGTGTCTCTACCTCATCTTTACCTTCCGCATTTACATTGTTACCTAGGTTATGTGCTTTACTTTCCTAGCTTAGTTGATAGGGTTGGAACCTAGGTTGCAAGACTCTTTTACGGTAGAGATAACAACATATTAGTAAAACCGTAGGTGCATATTTAGATATATTACTTTCTTGCATATGTTTTGTTAGGGTGGAATTAGATGCCATAGTTTAGAGTAGATTTTTAAGTTGCCTAACTCATCCCCCTCTTAGGTGTCACGGTCCCTTACAACCAAATACACGCAAAGAGACATAAAACGGACATGATGTGGCTTGCATCACGCTAGAGGTGGTACAATAAGAGAGAACACAATCAGAGGCGATGGTATAGTGTGACGCTTATAAAAAATGAAAACAGTTAGGGCTGTTTTGAACGTAGGAATTTTATAGGAATCACGCAGTAATTTCACATAGGAACGGTGAAAAATTCTCGCGTTCTAAACAAGCCCTTATTATTATAGCCAGTGGCGGATGCAGAACATGATTGAAGGAGGGCTGGTCTCTTCTTCTTCCTCTCTCTCTTCATTTTTCTTTTTTGCTCCACCTCTTCTTCTCCCTCACCTTTCCTATATTTTCATTGATGCACCAGCTGTAGGGGGCTAGAGCCCCCCCCCCCTAAGATCCGCCCCTGATTATAGCTAACATTTTATCATATAATATCTTTTATTATTATGAGACAGATGTATGCACCTACAAGATAAACATACCCCTCGTTGGTTTGGTCTCGCTTCCGGCTTTCCTACAAGCACAACTGCACGACGGCAGACATCCATCACGGAATCAAGGCCCGGCGTAGAGGTGTGCAAGCAGCCTGGGTACGGCAACGGCCTCGAGAGGGACCAACCGGGGAACAGCCAGTCCGAATTTCTCCTGCATGCTCAGCTTCTCCGGCGCCACGCCGTCCGGCAGCCGCCACGCGAAGGCGTGCAGCAGGTTCGCCAGGGTAACCTGCACCATCTTCAGCCCGAGGACGTAGCCCGGGCACATCCGGCGACCGGACCCGAACGGGAGCAGCTCCAGGTCCTGCCCCTTCACGTCCACGCCGCTGCCGACGAACCTCTCCGGGCGGAACTCCTCCGCGTCGCCGCCCCACACGGCGGGGTCGCGGCCGATGGCCCAGACGTTGACGAACACGATCGTGCCTGCCGGGATGTCGTAGCTGCCCGTGGACGCGTCCTCTCGAGACAGCCGCGGCGCCAGCAGCGGCGTCACGGGGTGCAGGCGCATGGTCTCCTTCACGATGGCCTCCAGGTACGGCAGGTTCGGAATGTCCTGCTCGGTGACAAGACGGCCATGGCCAATGACGCTGTCCAGCTCCTCGGTGGCCTTGGCGAGGACCTCAGGCTTCCGCAGGAGCTCCGACATGGCCCACTCGATGGTCACCGCTGAGGAGTCCGTGGCGCCAGCGATGAGATCCTGCATGCGTATTCGTCAGATCAGAGGTTCTTTATTATTATAAAAAAGGGCAAAGTATTTAACCTTCAAGTTATACACCAGTCTGATTCTCAACCCAACTACAATGCCAATAGATAACGGGCACCTTCTAACTGTCGAAATTGGCCACATGTATGGTCCTCTGTTTCACATATGGTTTTTTATTTTCTAAACATAATAAAAGACGGTTTGATCTCTTAAAATTTATATTTAATTTATTTTCTAAATTAGAAAAGTACGCAGCTAGTGTCAATTTTTTCTAGAAAATGTAATCTAATTTGAGACGGAGGGGAGTACGTAACATTCTCATTCTCATTTCATATTAAAATTTGATAGTTTTTTATTTCATTGCAAAGTAGTACATGCATATGTGCTAGTTACGTTTATTTTCCGTGTGACGGATAACTATCAGTTATTACACATAGTTTCGTCCTTTGTTATTTGCTTTTAGAAATTTTAGTGATGTTGTGAACGTTAAGTTTAATAAACGAATAACAATCCTCCAGTCTTACCAGAGCGAATCCCTTGACGCCATCCCGTTTGATGGGCACCTCGAGTTTGGGGTCGTCGGCGAGCTCCAGCAGCAGGTCCACCATGTCCGCGGCGACGAACTTGTCGCCCTCTCGCCGGCGTCGCTGGCTGTGCTCGTCGACCACGTGCTCCAAGAAGCGATCGAACATCTTGCCCAGCCTCTTCATCCTCCCGACGTAGCCCTGAAGGTCCAGCCAGCTGAGCCACGGGATGAAGTCCCCGACGCAGAACACGCCGTTCAGGAGGAAGAGCTCGTCGACCATCCACCTGAACTCGGCCGGCGAGATCGGCGAGCCAGCAGTGCCCTCGCCGACGTACTTGCCGCCCAGCGCCATGCGCGAGATCACGTTGAGGCTCAGCATGAGCAGGTGCTCCTTGAGCGCGACGACACCCGCGGAGGACAGGGCGCGCAGGTCTCGCAGGAGCACGCGCAGCTCCTCGCTGCGGACGTGCTCCTGCGACCTGAGGTGCCGGTCGCTGAAGAGATGGGCCTTCCACAGCTTGCGCGCCTGGCGCCAGTACGCGCCGTAGGGCGACCAGACGATGTCGGAGTAGTCGTAGGCGGTGTGCTTGCCGGACGCCATCTTGGGGCGGTCGATGAACGACGCGTCGTTGGTTTTGAGGAAGAACCTGGCCGCGTCCACGGACGAGCCGACAACGACGGGGACGGAGCCGAAGCGGAGGGACATGAACGGGCCGTACCGCGCCGAGAGCGCGTGGATGGAGCGGTGCGGGAGCGAGCCGATCAGGTTGAGGTTGCCGATCACCGGCCACGGGCGAGGACCTGGTGGGAGCTTGTGGTTGCGGGTGGAGCCGCGCTTGCGGCGGAGGGCGGTGACGACGAGGAGGGCGGTGGCGAGCATGACCCCCAGGAATGAGACTAGTTCCGTCTCCATCGGAACGTAGTGTACGTAGCTGGGATGTGCATGTGCTTATTTTCTTCTCTTGTGTGCATAATACAAGAACGGTCTCAATTGCAGCCTCTACAATTTATAGGGATGAGACGGGGAAGGGGACGGGGACGGTAAGGTACGAAACGGAACGGGTGCTGTACTAATGGTGGGTGGAGCACCAGTGATCATCGTTTCATGGACATGGACGGGCACTAGGCCGCACTAGCTGATGCTGGACGGACGCCCACAGCTGAACGTGGCGTCCTTTGTGAGCACATGGTTGGAAATGGTGGAGCACGTGCGACATGCTAAATAAAAAGGTTCTATAAGCAAAGGAGTGGAATCGGAAGAGCTGGGATATAATTGTTCACATGTTTATAATTCCCTGGCATTTGCCGGCACAGCCGGCGCTCTATCTCTAAGCCAACGTTTTTAATAGTGCTAAATTTTAGCATATAGCTAATAATATGGATAGTTCCAAAAGCTAGTTTTTCTCCTGTTGTATTAAAATATAAAAAAATATTTATAGCTAATTTATGAGTCAGTCATTACAGGTGCATTTAGTAGTGTCATTAGGATCAGGCCCACTCGATAGTGCGAGTAGAGTACCAATAGGTGTGAGAGGTGCCGAAGGGGCGAAGGGCGGAACGGCCACCCCTGCCACTCTGCAGGGCTCCTTGTCTTTTTTTTTTGTTTTTAATTAATGTACGCTCCTTGTCTCTGTCATCAAGAACCACGTTGAAATGGACGGGTACTCCGTCACCACCGAGCTGCAGGTACCCCTGCACACCGATGTCGTGTCGATCTGCTCTGCAGCGACAAAGAAAGGCTTCTAAGTGCAGAGGCCAGGAGGTGCTAGCTGCTGGGTGATGGAGCTCTCTCACCATCAACGACAATTTTGGTCTCTCCACTGCATATTTCGAGTCACGTGACAACCCACGTTAATCTTAAGCTATACCAATCTTTTTTAACATATATTTCCTCCGTCCAACATTTTAGAACAGAGAATACAGAAAAATAAAGTGGCCAGAGAAAAAAAATTTCAACTTTGTTCTAGTGTTCTTTGCAGATGGTTGAAGTTTTCAGTCTTCTTTAGAATTTTCTCCATAGATAAGGATTAAGACATTTCTGCTGCACTCCGCCTCAAGAGCTTCACCAAGCGAGTGCTAAAGAAGGTGAACTCTCCGCTAATTCGTCAGCCTCCCAAGCAGACGTCACCTGCGAAGCCGGTGCTCCTGTTGCGGAGCAAGCGGCTAACAGCCCAAAGCCTCTCTTTGGTTCCCGTTTCCAAGCGAGGTATGGTCCTTATCATGCAGCGTATGGGTTTGGCCACAGGTCTATCAACGCCGAGTGTGTCGGGGAAGAAGGCCTAGGAAAGGTTGTTTGACGCTAAGCTGACGTCTTCCAATCTCTATGCAGTAGAGGCACTCTTCATGGACACTGGAACTGTGTCGCATAGGTTAACGGGCGCAAGCCAAGGTTACATCGCCGTCTAGACCAAGGCTGTTTACCACCTGTAATATCGAAGCTTGAATCTGTTTGCTAGGATGGTCCAGCTGGCTGTAATCCCATAGACCTCCTACGACGTTTGTCAGAAGCACGTCGTTTGTATGGTTAAACTCTTCTACCTCAGTTACAATGATTGCATATTCAAGAAAAAAAATTTGGTCACAGTTCTTGGTCGGAGATTTGAAGATTTATCTATGTTTTTTAAGAATTGCTTGAATTAGACTAGAAAACCCCCGGACATTGAGAACAAAAATACTGAGAAGAATAATAACTCTTGGCCATTCAAATAAAATACTCCAGAAATATTAATAAGTTGATAAATTAATTTATTAGTATAGCAACATAGGTACATTAGGTAAACAATTAATATATAACCATCTAAAATATTAATATTTACTACGTAAAAACTTATATAAGTTACTGGCCATATAGAGGCACGGGCTGATACGATAGTAGAAATAATTCAAGGTTTAATTGATTTTTTAAGAAATAGGAGTTCGGGAGCAAAGCTGGAGGGGCCAAACACCCTCTATGATAGTTGATTTTTTTTAAGCTTAAACATCTCTACCCATATTTTGAAACGAAATGGTAATTTTGCCGTTGTTGTTTTTTAACTTTGTGATTTTACCCCTGCTATTTTAAAATGAAAGGAGACTTTACCCATGCTCTATGAAGTGCCCCTAACGGTTTTAACTTTTGACTAAAAGGACAACTTTGTCCACGTGTTTTTATCCTTGTTTTATTTTGCTCATTGTGTTTATACCCCTGACTTCAGACCAATGCAAAACTTACAAATTTCAGAAAATCGACAACATTTTAGCTAAAAATCCATATAAACACAAATTAATATCACAGGCATTCAAGATATAGAGTAACAACATTCAATCAGAGTTACACCAACCAGGTCTAATGGCAAATCAAATAGAGGGGGGAAGAAGAACAGTAGAGGAGATTCCTACAAGCCCACGCTGGACCCACCGGTCGACCGAGATCGAGTACCCATGGCCGTCGTGTGCCCACTGATGGCTTTTTGGTCGCGCCGCCCCGAGCACCGCCAGAGGTTGGCCGTGCCACCTCTCATGCACCTGTCACCTGCGCGCCATCGGGGCCTGGCCGCGCCGCCTACCTAGTGCCCGTCGGGGGCTGGTGAAGGTCGAGATGGCGACTAGAGGGGGGTTGAATAGTTATTTCTAAAATCTAATCGTGTCGGCTAACCAAAACAAGTGCGAATTAAAACAATCGGTCTAGCTAAGACTACACCCCTCTATCTATGTTCTCTAGCACCTTACAAGGATCCTAATTAAGTAACTAAGGCGCCGGGCTAGTTAGAGCTCACCTAATAATTCTAGAAGTAATGTCACACAAACCTATGCCACTAGTACTTTAAGCAACGAGGGAGCTCCTACACATGCTAGTAAACAAAAGCACAAAGCTCCTAAGCTCACTAGCAATGCTCAATAACAAGACAACCAATGCCAAATTAGAGAGCACAAATACTTAGCTACACAAACTAAGCAATATGACTAACATGGTTACAAAAATCAAATTAGCCACACAAAGGAGCTACTTCTTATGCTACACAAGGAAGAAGGTAACTAGTGAACTACACAAGCAAACTAATTATAAGAGCAACTACACAAGCACAATGTATATGAAAGTAATTACAAGCTTGTGTAACGAGGATGCAAACCAACGGGAATAAAATGATGACACGATGATTTTTTCCAAGGTTCACGTGCTTTCCAACACGCTAGTCCCCATTGAGACAAGCTCCAAGGTTGCCGCCGGTCCTCTTGCTAGTGGTGACTCGCAAGTCACACCCTCCCACGTGGAGTGCTTACCACAAGCTCTAGCACTTGACCCGGTCGGACCACTTGTCGCCCTTCGTGTTTCATTTTACAAGAGTTGCTCTTTGCGGCTCCTGGGCGAGCAGCACAATGCCCCTCACAAAGCTCTTCTCCGGAGCACCGCACAAGCTTCTTACGGGCTTCGACGGATACCACCATCAAGCCGTCTAGGAGGTGGCAACCTCCAAGAGTAACAAGCACCACCGGCTTGCAACAAGACCACCTAGTGCCACTCAATGCAACCTCATGATGCAATCGCACTAGAATCGCTCTCTCACATAATCGAATGATCACTATCAAGCATATGTGAGATGGAGGGCTCCCAAGCACTCTCAAGCATTGACACAAAGTCCCCCAAGGTGCTCAGCACCAGCCATGGCTGTGACCACCTTCTATTTATAGCCCCCACAAAAATAGAGCCGTTGTACCCCTTCACTGGGCACAGCTCGGGGTGACCGGATGCTCTGGTCAGATCGACCGGACGCACCCTGCTAGCGTTCGGTCAATGGATGCATGCCACGTGTCGCCTCCGTTCAAACTCAGTCGCTTGATCTCAACGGTCAAGTGATGACCGGACGCAACACAGTGCCAAGACCGGACGCACCTCTGCCGAGTCCGGTCGTTTCTAGAGAGGTTCCATTCACGACCAGGCGTGTCAATTTGATCACGATTGGACGCAGGACTCCAGCGTCCGGTCACTTCCAGTAAGCTCCTAGAGCTGCTCAACCATGACCGGATGCGTCCGGTCGGTCATGATCGGACGCAGCATCAGCGTCTGGTCCTTTCTCCTCTTCTCTGTGCCACCATGTCAGCGGGACCGGACACACCCACCCAACGTCCAGTCATGAAGTGACCCAGCATCCGATCGAAGACCGATGCATGCGCCTTCACTGCTGCCACTGCCACTGACCGGACACAGGACCCCAGCGTTCGGTCACTGCATGACCAACATCCGGTGCACTCTGTGAAACCCTATCTTTTCTATACAGGGCGTCGGTGGCACCGTCAGACTGTCCGCACTCAACGGGCGGACACTCCACCGGTGAAGTTTCGAACCCTTTTCTTTACCGAGTTGATCCACATCAACTCCAACTTATTCTCCTTTGTAAATGTGCCAACACCACCAAGTGTAGTCCACCATGTGTGTGTGTGTGTTAGCTTTTCACAAACATTTTCCAAAGGATTAGCCACTCAACTTGCCACGCCACTCGATCCTAGTGATGATGCAAAGTTAGATCACTCGAGTGGCACTAGATGACCGATATACAAACAAGTTTGTCCCTCTTGATAGTACGGCCATCTATCATAAACCTGGTCATCAACTTCTCTACACACCTATGACCGGTGAAATGAAATGCCCTATGTTATATCTTTGCCTTGCACATTCCATTCCATCTCCTCTAATGTCGATGCAACACATGCACCAACACGATCATCAATGATATGATCCACTTCATATCATCATGTGATCATATTGGTTCATCGATCTTGACTTCACTTGCTTTTCACCGTTGCCTTTGTCCATCGGCGCCAAGTCTTGCTCAAGCTTCACCGCCACACGGTCCATCACTCCAAAGCCTCCGACCTGCCCTTCACGTTTGCAACCGGTCCATCAAGCCAAGTCATGTCTTGATCTTCTCCACCTTG